GCCCCGCCCCGCCCCGCACGCCTGCTGAGGCTGGGCTCTCCACGCGGGGCGCCTGGCTGCAGCTGGCTGCTGGGGGGCAGTCGTGGCTCTGGCTGCCTCCAGCGCAGCCCCAGCAGCTGCTGCTACAGCTCCCCGTGGGGCTCGGCCCCCCCCACAGGGCAAGGGTCGCAGTGGGGTCACGACTCCAGAGGCCACAAGCTCCTTGTGCCCTGAGGAGCCCCCCCCGCTTCCCGCTGCAACATGAGGGCTGTGGACGGATGCATCCCCCCGGGGCCGCCTCTGTGGGGCCTCCCTGGCAAGGCCCAGGCTGCCGGGGTCCGTGCCCAGCTGCACAACTGCCCACACCGGCCTGGATGTGGCCCTGCTGCCTCTGCCCTGGCTGCACCTCCCTGACCGGCTACTGGCCCTTGCAGGCAGCGCCCTCTCCCCGCGTGGGCCTGGTGGCGGGTGGCGCCTGTCCAGGCGGCTGCTGCTCAGATCCTTGCGCGCCCGTGCCCTGCGCATCCCCCCAACCGCTGCTCCATCCCCCAGCCGAGCTGCCTCCGCCTGGCGGCCCCGCTGCCAGCACGGCTGTGTTTCCAAACAAGCCCTTCCCGCGCTCCCACGCCGCAGCCGGAGGAGCTCCTGGAAACATCCACACAGCCGCCTCTTGCCAGCCAGCCACGTGTCCACGGCCACGGCCCTCCTGCCCGGGCCTGGCATGAGCCCCTCCCTTGCAGGCCTCCCACAGCCCAGGCCGGTGCCTGCCCGGCGCCCCTTGTCACGCGCGCAGCAGATGCCTGGCATAGCCGTGATGCCACGCGGCGGCACCACTGGTGCTGTTGCAGCAGATAAGCAGGACGACGCTCCCAGGGGCCTGTGGCAGGGCGCTGCACAGCAGGAGGGCATCACCTGGGGCCAGCGCCTTCGTCCCAGGACACCTCTGCTGCGCAGTGGGGCCCGGTCCCTGGGGCCTGGGGCAGCCTGCCTTGCCACAGCCACCGGCCCGCGCTGCGGCTCACCCACTTGCCTATAAATAGCCGGACTTTCTGCCTGTTGTCATGGCGATAGCAGCACGGCGCGATTTCCTGGCGGGTGCGGAGCCCTGCAGGCCTCGCCGCGCCCCGGTTCCCACAGCGGCCAGGGCTCCAGCAGCCTGCCTGGCCCCGGCCCCGGGCACCTCCACCCCTGCCTGGCCGCGGGCACCCCACAGCTCTGCCCAGCCCCTGCATGAGGCTTGCAGCCCTGCCTGGCCTCCGCTCTGCCCTGGCCCCAGCCCCAGCCCCAGCCCCTGCCCAGCCCTGGCTCCAGCCACCTGTGCCCAGTCCCAGGCACGCTGCAGCTTTACCCAGCCCCTGGATGAGGCCCTCGCAGCCTGGCCTGGCCCCAGCCCCAGCCCTGGGCACCTCCAGTCCCTGGCAGCCATGGCCCCAGCTCTGGCCCCAGCCTCCCCTGCCCACTCGCCTCCAGCCCAGGCCTGGGCACAGCTCAGCTCTGCCCAGCCCCTGGATGAGCCCCATGCATCCCTGCCCAGCCTGGCCCTGGGCACCTTGCACCCTCCACCCCCCCCAGGTACCCTGCACCCTACGCCTAGCTCTTGCTCCAGGCATCTCCATCTCCATCCCTGCCCAGCCCCAGCCCCAGCCCTTGGCACCTTGCACCCTCTGCCCAGCAATGGCAACAGCTTCTCCAGACCAGCCCCTACCCAGGCACCTTGTGCCCTGGCCCAGCCCAGCCCTGGCACTTCGCACCCTGCCTGGCCTCAGCCTGACCACTGTGCGCCCAGGCACCTCCAGCCTTGGCCTGGCCTTGGCCTCCCATGTGCTCACCAGCCCCCATCCTGCCACCTGTGGGAGAACATCCCGCTGCCCCCAGTCCCAGCCAGGTCCCTGCCAGGGCAGCCC